GGGGTGGGGAGTAGTGGTGTAGGAGACGGGGCAGCAAGACGACCTGGGGTGGAGGGTGCTTGGCAGGACTGAAGAGCAACAAGGAGGCCAGTGGCTGGGACTGGGAAGTGTGACAGGAGGAGGCTTAGCGATGATGTCAGCGAGGCATTTAGGTCCTGCTGATGCTCGGCTTTTGCAAGGGCTCGGGCTCTTCCTCTGGGGGAGGTGGGAGCCGTGTGTTGAGCAGAGTAGTGATGTTAGGTGAGCAGAGGGTCGCTCTGGCTGCTGCATTTGGGATAGATTTTTAGGGACAGGCGTGCATTCAGTGAGGCCGGTTGTGAAGCTGTTGTAGTAATCCAGGTGAGGCTTAATAAGTCCGTGTTTGTAAAATGCGTAGCTTTGTGTGCCTGGAAAAGAGTATGTGCTTAATAACTGCGAGCCATTATTTATCATTACTGTCACTACCTACGGTTAATTACTCGCGGTCTTCTATTCTCCACGCAGCGGTCCTTCTATGTTCGTCCTGTAAAATACTGTCCCGTGGCGACTCCAGAGTGGGATGCAATTCTTAGCATGTCTTTCTGATTCCACCTGTCCCATTGACGTTCAAGAAAACACGTTGGCATACAGAGGAATGAGGGTGTCATTTATTATGGGGATTACCTGGAGTTAATTCTAATTTATAGTCCTGTAAAAAGCAAAGAACATCCTTCCTCAACCTTGGCCTGTACCTGGTGACTGGTGTTTCTGCACCGGGGCCGCGACTCAGTGGTTGAGAGCTGTTGTTCTTAAACGCGTCTGTCAAAACTTGAGTTGGACACCTTTTCCCCTGAAACGGATTCCTCTCTAGACTCCTGCCTTCCGCACACGTTTCTGAATGTCTACCTCGTGTGAGGCGGTGCACCCGGTGCTGTAGACACAGTAATGCTTGAGGCAGACGTCATTGTGTGTGGATTGTGTCCATCCGGTCAGCGAGAGGTCATAAACGAGTAGGCGTGGGTGACGGGTGAGGGCTGCTGTAGCCAAGGACTGCAAACGAGGGGACTCACACAACACAAAATTATTGGGTCACGGTTCTGGAGTCCGGAAGTAGAAGTCCAGCTGTCCACAGGGCCAT